CTAAGATTAAATCAGCAACTCCTAAGTCCTTCATATCGAACTTGCTGGAGAACATGCGCTTATAACATTTATATCGTCAATGTCTTTACTCATTATTAACATGTCATCAACATACAAACAAACAATGACTTCATGATTCATAACGTTTTTAATGTAAACACATTTATCATATTCATTTATCTTGAATCTATTTGCTAACATAGTTTGGTCAAATTTAGCATGCCATTGTTTGGGTGCTTGCTTGAGTCTATAAAGTGACTTCACAAATCTGCACACTTTCTTTTGCTTTACCAGGAACTATAAATCATCCTGAAGGTTGTTCCATGTAAATTTCTTCCTCTATCTCTCCATTAAGAAGGCTTACTTTGTATCCATTTAGTGGATTTTAAGATCATGCACTGCTACTAGTGCTATTAACATCCTAATTGATGTTATCCTTGTTACTGGAGAGTATGTGTCAAAGTAGTAACATGAATCTCAGGATTATCAGATTTATGAACCAAAAAATGGCAATCCTTACTGTTCACAACATATCCAATAGATACACTGTCTACTGTTTTAGATCCAATTTAACCCTCTTTGGTAAAGGAACCTCTACCTTAGCTAAATACTCCCACATTTTGAAATATTTCAAGTTGGGTTTTCTTTCTTTCCGCAACTCATATAGAATTGATTGTGTTTTTCGATGAGGTACCCTATTGAGTATCTTATTAGCCGTAAGGATGGATTCCCCCCAAAGGTTTTGTGGTGAATCAGAATTGATCATCAAGGCACTCATCATTTCCTTTAATGTTCTATTCTTCCATTCCGCCAACCATTTGACTGTGATGTATAAGGTGCAATAGTTTGATGAATAATACTATATTCTAAATATATCTCTGCAAAAGGAGATTCATATTCTCCATCCCTATCACTCTGAATTATTTTTATCTTTGGATTCAATTGGTTCTCCACTTCATTTTTGTATTGCTTAAATGCATCAATTGCTTCATCCTTACTACTAAGCAAATATACATAACAAAATTGAGTGCAATCGTCAATGAAAGTTATAAAATACTTTTTTCCACCATGAGATGGTGCGACTTCATATCGCATATATCTGTGTGAATTAAGTCTAAAATTTTGAAATTTCTTTCAACCGACTTATAAGGATGTTTAACAGACTTACTTTTCATACAAATTTTGTATTTCGATTTATCACATTTAAAATCAGGCAGTACTTCTAGATTAACCAATTTTTGCAAAGCTTTGTAATTTACATGTCCGAAAGGGGCATGCCATAAATCATTTGACTCCAATAAGTAAACAGAAGCAGAATTCTTATTAATATTATCAACAATTAGGGGTGGGCATTCGGTATTTCGGTTCGGTTTTGGGTTTTTTTATCTTTTCAATTTTCAGTTCTTGTAAATTGTGTATCGAATACCGAATCGAAATATTTCGGTTTGGTTCAATTTTTGTTATTTCAGTTCAATTTTTATTAATTTGGTTCAGTTTTTTAATGGGTCTGCTTAGGCTATGACTACTGCTGGCGGCGGCTGCTGTTGTTGGGCTGCTGCTGGCGCCTGGCGGCTTCTACCTCAAAGAGGAAGAGGAAGAAAGAGGAAGAGTTGTTGTCTGCAAGAGGAAGAGGAGGCTGCAAGATGAATATTAAAAATTAAAATAGGAATAGGGACATTACATAGGGTTTCACATTCTTTTTTATTTTTTTAAAAGATTATTTAACATTTATAATTATTAATTAATATAATATAAATATAATATAAATTATAGTATGATATTTCGGTTTAAACCAAAATACCGAAAATCAAAATAATACGTACCAAAAATCAAACTGAAAAACAAAAAATACAAAAAAGTAAACCAAATACCAAAATATCAAAATCGAAATTCTGAAAAATTTTAGTTCGATTTGGTGTTTTAGTTTTCCGGTGTTTATGCCACCCGTATGAACAACCATTACATTCAGTTTGAAAAGACCCTAACTGAGGTAGCCCTTTTCTGTGAACATTTCATTCTTACTTATTACATTTTTATTACTAACTAGGACACACTTAAACCCGTTCTTAACGAGTAGTGCAATAGAAACTAAATTCTTCCTAATAGTAGGGACATGCAAAACACTGTTCAACGTCAACTCCTTGCCGGATGTCATTTTCAACATAACTTTTCAAGTTCCTGAAATCCATGTTGTTGCATGTTTCCCATGAATAAATCTTCATCATATTCAGCAGGAGTGTACGTTGCAAAGACTTTTTTCGCAGAGCAAATATTTCTAGTGGCACCTGAGTCGAGAAACCACTCCTTGGGATTTCAAACTAAGTTACACATCGAGATCCTTGCACACAACTCATCTGCATCTTTCATGTTTTACACGGTGTTTGCTTGACTTTTGCTGTTGCCTTTGTCTTTGTCCTTTCTTCGAGCACGACAATCAGAAGACCGATGACCAGCCTTGTCACAGTTGTAACAGTTGCCTTTGAATTTCTTCTTGGCCTGTTCTGACTTCTACCGGTTGGACTTCTTTCTCTTTTAGTCTTTGGTAGGATCTTCTTCAACAATATTAACTCCAATGATTTTGAGCTCTAACGAGACTTCTTTTCGGTATTTTTGTTATCTTCCTCAATTTTGAGCCGAATCACAAGATCTTCAAACTTCATTTCTTTATGTTTGCGCGTTTGATAATTCTTGAATCGTTCCACAAAGATGCAACTTCTCGATCATTGCAGCCACTTGAAAAGCTTCATTTACTATCATATCTTCAGCAATCAGATCATGGAGAATAACTTTAAGTTTCTGCACTTGTGATCCAACAGTTTTACTATCTACCATTTTATAATCTAAAAACTTTGTGACCACAAACTTTTTCAAGGTTCTGTCTTATATTTCTTCTCAAGTGCATCCCACAACTCTTTTGAAGTTGTCATTGCACTATAGACATTATATAAGTCATCCTCTAAAGCACTCAAATTGTAGCCTTTACATAAGAAGTCTGCCTGTTTCCATGCTTCAATAATCAATGATTTTTCTCTGTCTGGCATATCATCAGCAGGCACTGGAGTTTCTTCATTGGTAAATTCCTGCAGACCAAGAGTGGTAAATCAGAAAAATACCCGTTGCTGCCATCGTTTAAAATTCACACCAGTGAATTTACCCGATTTCTCTGCTTGTGGTACAACAGTTTGGGTTAGTGCAGGAACAACCACTGTAACACCGTTGTTTGCCATTTCTGATAAACAAAAATCGATACAGTCTTAGTGAGCAATAAATTATAATTGCAGACTTCAAGGAGTATAAAATCACGAAAATTTTTGTCTCCACCACAAACAAAAATTAATGTATAATAAAAAATAATTTCCTTAAGATTATTGCTAGTCTGTGTTTGAAAACCAAAATTACTGATTCTAATAAAACTTTGCAGAAACACAATGTAACCAAAGTTTACAAACATGAACAGAAACTAATTAAGAAAAACTTAAAATATATAATATACCAAAATCTAAAAAAAATTGAACAGAAAAAGATCAAGTACACTAAACTCACAGTGGCCCCTTAAGGAAATTATTCCCCCCTAGTATCCGAGGTTTGATTTGGAATATAGCCTCCCAGGGTAAAATGATCTCAATCACCAGAGTATGGAAATCAAAAACTCTAGTGTCGGTGAACCACTCAACAGCAGTAAAATACACGAAGTAATCGGTTGTGCAGAAGAAGAAGAATAAATCAGAAAAATTCATAAGGAAAATTCTGAAGAGTGAATGATATTGATAGGAAAGAGGAAGAGGTTCCGAAAGGTTCCAATCCTTTCAGAAACCACACGACCATTAATGAAAGTTTGCAACCTTTCAAATGGTACTGACTGTTCCTGAAAGTTGCAACCTTTCAGAATAGTCATTTTAAAAATAGCGGGAAATTTAAATAAAATGGGAAAGTTTTTAAATTAAACGGGTCGCGCGCGGATCTGAGTTGGATCGGGTTAGTCAACTAAAAAGTTGAAACATTTCGGTTAATTTTAACTAAATAACTGAAAACTTTTTTGTTATCAACTAATTAATTGAAAACCTTTTGGCCATTTAATTAATTAATTAAATAAATAATTAAAACAAACTTTGTTCAAAAATAAATCTCTCGATCGATTGCTAAAGCCAAAGCCAAGACGAGCGATGACGACGGTGTGAGTGGGTCCCTCTTTCCAACCTTTTTAACAATTAATAAGAGTGTTTCGATATTTAAACTATCATATTTTTGTTTCCTCCACCAATGAGGGATCAATGTCTTTTCATTAAAGCATAATAGGACTTTTCAAGTTCCCAACTCTTCAAGTTCTCAACTTTTCAAGTTTCTCTCTTTCCCATCAATTCTTGTTACATATCCAACAGAAAATAGAACTATAATAGAATAATTAAATCCGAATATATTATCCCATAATTTTATCCAAACCAAATATGAGATATGCTCTTTCTAAAATTGATCTTAAAATTAGTTATTTCTTATCTCATACAAACAAGTCCTTAATACAGTAGTGTATGTTTATTGATGATATTATATGCATACATACATATATATGCTATATTTTGAAAGAAAAATAGTGTCATATTTTGAAAAACAAAGAACTATTTTTCAAAAATGTTGTAAATCCATTGTATAGTATATGTGGATTATTCATTAGATTTATCCACTATTAAATGGGTTCATGTAGGTGCTTCCAAGGTGATATGAACTTCCAAGATAAATATGTATCTATTAATTAGATGACTTTTGGAGTGATATCTCAACACTATAAATAGAGAATCACTCACCATTTGGAAGATATAGTTGAATAAGAAAATTCTCTCCTCTATCTTATACTTCTTGTCTTTTTCTTCTTATATTCTGAGCTTTCTTTACAACACGTTATTAGCATGAAGTTTCTACTTGCAAAGGTATTATATAAATATTTTTATTTAATTCACATATTCTCCCATAATTTCATTATGTCGAATTTATTCAAACATGAGTTTATGGCATTAGATATTTCTGGAAAGAATTATCTTTCATGGGTACTCGATGCTGAGATTCACTTGGCTGCTAAAGGTCTTGATGCCACTATTACTCAGGGAAATGAAGCATCGAGTCAAGATAAGGTGAAGTCTATGATTTTCCTTCGTCATCATCTTGATGAGGGCCTGAAGATTGAATATCTGACGGTAAAAGATCCACTTGAATTGTGGACTGATTTAAAGGGGAGATATGACCACCTAAAGGTAACAATGTTGCCAAGAGCTCGTTATGAGTGGATGCATTTACAGTTTCAAGATCTTAAGACCGTAATTAAATACAACTCTATTGTATTCAGGATAACCTCCTAGTTGAAATTATGTGGGGAGACTATAAAAGATGAGGACATGTTGGAAAAGACACTTACTACTTTCCATGCCTCAAATATGATATTGCAGCAGCAATATCGTGAAAAGGGTTTTCAAAAATATTCTGAACTAATCTCATGTCTTTTGGTGGCTGAGCAACATAATGCTCTTTTAATGAAAAGTCATGAAGCTTGTCCCACTGGAGCTGCTCCATTACCGGAGGCAAATGTGGTGGGAGCACGTGATCAATCTGAAGTAAAAAGAGATGATCATCGGGGCTATAATAATGCACGGGGACGTGACAAAGATAAGAGACGATAAACTAATCGTCGAGGTGGTGGTCATAATAAAAGGGAGACCAACATGAGTTCTCAAAATAACTCCTCAAAAATTAATTGTCGTCATTGTGGCATGAAAGGCCACTGGAAGAATGAATATCGCACACATGAGCATTTTGTAAAGCTCTATCAAAATTCCTTTAAAAAGAAAGGAAATAGAAGTGGTGCTTCCTCTTCCAATGCTCGAGCTGAGTCATATATGACTCTTAAAAATGATGATAATCCGGGAACATCTCAGAAATATGATAAGGATGTTGAAGCAAATTTGGCTTTAAAGGATGATGTTTTTAATGGCCTTGGTGACATTACTCATATGGAAGTTGATGACTTCTTTGGAGATCGAAATTGATGTTTGATCTTTTAGCTGGGGAATGAAGTCTGTTAATGTTTTACATAATATTTTACTTATGATTTTTTAGTTATTATTTTATTCATGTTGAAGTATTTAAATTTTCGTTATTAATTTTGTTTTTCCTTCTTTTAATGTATTTTATTTTAATTAAAACTAATAGAAATCCAATTGTCAGTTGGATTCAAGATGAGTAATGGAGATGTATGCCTTTTTGATAGTGCTACAATGAATACAATATTAAAAGAAAAGAAATACTTTTCTAATTTGGTTATGAATCTGGAAGAGCGACCTTATTACTACCTGGAGGGACAATATTAAGCATTGATAATGCATTATATTATAGTAAGTCTCAAAGTTTCAAAGTTATTCGCCAAAATGTCTATCATGTTGAGACGGCTAATGAAGGAAAGGTTGAATACCTTTACATTACTACAATTAATGTAGAGAAGAAAATTGTGCATGAAAAATTACTTTCTTCTGGGTTGTACTATACAAGTATAAGTACAGTTGAATCACATGCCGTAGTAAACAAAAGGTTTACTAATTTTAATGATTTTATCATTTGGCATGACCGGTTGGGCCATTCTGGATTTAATATGATGCACAAAATCATTGAGAATTTACATGGGCATGTGCTGCTTGTTCTTAAGGAAAGTTGATCATTAAACCATCAACAGTTAAGGTTGGAATTGAATCCCCTGCGTTTCTGGAACGTATACAGGGTGATATATGTGGACCAATTCAACCTGCATGTGGACCCTTTAAATATTATATGTTCTTGATAGATGTTTCTGCAAGATGGTCACATGCGTGTTTATTATCAACTCGCAACATGGTTTTTGCGAGATTGATGGCTCAAATAATAAGATTGAAAGCAGAATTTCTAGACTATACAATAAAGACAATCCGTCTAGATAATGCTGGTGAGTTTACATCTCAGGCATTTAATGATTATTGTATGTCTACTGGTATAACAGTTGAACATCCAGTTGTGCATGTTCACACTCAAAACGGTCTAGCAGAATCATTGATTAAATGTCTGCAATTGATAGCTAGACCATTACTAATGAGAACAAAGTTATATGTGTCTATGTGGGGACATGCTATTTTGCACGCAGCAACACTTGTGCGCATAAGGCCGACCAATTATCATGAATTCTCCCCATTATAATTGACTTTTGGTCAAGAGCCAAACATTTCCCATCTTAGAATTTTTGGATGTGCGGTGTATGTCCTAATTGCTCCACCACAACGCACAAAGATGGGGCCTCAAAGAAGGTTGGGGATATATGTTGGGTATGAATCTCCTTCAATCATAAAATATTTAAAGCCTATGACTGGAGATTTATTTAAGACAAGATTTGTAAATTGTCATTTTTATGAATGAGTATACCCAACATTAGGGGGAGAACATAAGTCGTTGGGAAAAGAGATAGATTGGAATTCATCATCTCTATCTCATCTGGATCCTCGAACAAACCAATGTGAGCAAGAAGTTCAAAGAATAATTTATTTGCAGAACATTGCAAATCAGCTGCCAGATGTATTTACTAATATTCCAAGAATTACTAAATCACATATTCCAGCTGTTAATGCTCCAGTTCGAATTGATATCCCAACGGAACAAATTGTTGAGGCAAGTGAGTCTAGACCACATTTGAAGCGTGGTAGACCAATTGGTTCCAAGGATAAAAATCCTCGAAAGAGAAAAGGAATTGTCACGACCCAAAAATGGGTGTGATGGCACTCGTCTTATTCCACCAAGACAAGTCAGCCTAAAACCAAATATCTAACAAAGTGCGGAAGTAAATGACAATCCAACAACAATTCCTATTATGAAACCAAGTTATATTAATCCAATCCCCAAAATCAGGATGTCACGTGCACAAGCCTCTAATGTAAATATTAGAATTGAAATAAAATAGAAGTCTAAATGAAGTTGTCTTTCAAGTAAAAACAAAGTCATAAACTGGAGTAGGAAAGTTCGCTGAGATGACAAGCAGCTACCTCACAATCCTCCACAAGATGCCTCGGAAACGAAAAGAATGACAAGTATCACGATGATCCAGGCTCGTATCCTACAAAAATTTGTAGAAGCAAGGGGTGAGTACCAAACCACGCGGTACCCAACAAGCAAACCTCTAAACACAAGTTAAGTGAACAAAATACGGGCACTCCTTACACCATATCTAAACCTCCACGATACAGTCTAATAGGTTACAGTTTACCAAACACACAACTCAATAACCACACTCTATCAGTTTACACATTCTCAATAACAACTCAATATTCAACAGTCACAAGCTTCACAGAGAAACACTCACAAGATCAACAAAACACATGTTCAAGTTCATCAATAATTAAAAGTGTAATGCCATGAGATGCAATGTCAAATATAGTGATGCATGTCTTCCCTAACGATACACACCCGCTGTCTCTCAGTCCGGGACCCATGGGGGACATATCTGTCCATGCATCTGTCGCGGCGCACGACACGACCCTCGATAAGTAGTAAACTTCGCGGCGCGCGATACGTCCCTCGAAATATAATATCCGTCGCGGCGCGCGATACGACCCTCGAAAATAGTACACCATCCTCTTACCACAACAATGTCTCAGATACAATGCAAATGACATGCTTAAATGAAAAGGGAGGAGATAACCATTTGATAACCAAACACAATTTACAACAAGAAATACAACACCAACAAATAAACAACAAGTCTCCAAATCATTCTCAACATCACACAAGGATATACACGAATTTCGTACGCTTAACAAGAGTTTAAAAATCCACTTGCCTTAACCACTCGAATAATCACTCTGGGACTTGAGCCTTCCCTTTCCGTTTTGCTTCCAACTCAAAGCAATCTATTCACATTAATAATCACAATAAAATTTCGGAAATAACAAAACTCATGTTACTATAGGTCTAACCTAAACCCAAAAACTCACTCAAATCTATAATCAAATTCCTAATATTGATGTCAACTAGCTAGATGTCAACTTTCATATTTATTCAAGTTTCAAGCTTCGGTAAGTCTTCATTCATTAACCTAATATTAATAATATTCATAAAATACAATACACATAATATTCAACTACTCATTTCAATAAAACAAAACTTGAATTATAATGTTATAATTATAAGAAGAATCCGATAAAAAAAATAATTAACTACCACTTTATAATATATTTTATGCAAATAAACCAATTTCCCTTTCTTCTGTATTCCCATTCCAATTCAATTTTATTTATTTTCTTCCAGGAACCACACTAAACAAACCATTAATTTCCATTCATGTTATAATATTTATGACAATTGTTTTGTCTTTTCCTTCTTTTGTTTTTCTTTGTTTAGCAATACATACTAATTGTCTATTATAAAACCAATCAACTAATCACAATTAAATCACTAAATAACAACTAACAAATTAATTTCAATATTATCACAATTTCCAACAATTCACGTGATTTATCATTCCATATTTAAGGTTCAACTTGGCAATCACTACTTATTATTATAAACATATATAAGTACCTATATAATATTGCTATATACATACATAAATTTTCTCTGCCAAAAGCTTATTCCAAATCTCCAAACCCCAAATTCAATTCTAATATAATATTAATATATATATATGTATATATGTGCACAACAATTAATGATTATATGCAAATCAATTAATGTTGTAGTCATATGAGAAATTAGAAAAGCTTCAGTTGAATTTTTTTTTTCTTACGAGAAGTCGTGGAGCAGTTCGTCCCCTTCTTCTCTGTTCACGCCGCAAGCAGGTTAGTTTTCTACTCCTCTTCCTTTTCTTTTCTAAATTAATTAAGTACTAAAAGTGATAGGTTTTACCCATATATTTAATTAAATATAGTCTAAATGGTATAGAGTCTTAAATAAATTATCACTTTAGCCCATAAACTATCGATTAATTAACTCAAGTTAAGCAAATATTCAAAATTTCCAAAAATGACCTTCCGGGTCATTACAGGAATAAATGATCAAGATGATCATGGGTTGAAAGAAATTTCTCAAGATGAGACACAAGTCATAACACATGATGATGATGAGGTTCAAACTTCTGAAAACAATGAAATTTCAATGAATTATATCTCGACGAGAAAGTTGTGGAGCCGAAATAATGTTGTGATTGACAACATATTTACCTATAAAGTTGCTATTGAAATAATGCAACAAGATGAAGATTTTGAGCCAAAATCTGTTCACGAATGTTGATATATAAATGACTGGCCAAAACGAAAGGATGCAATTCAAGCTGAATTGGCTTCACTATAAAAACGTGAAGTTTTCGGACCAATAATCCGAACACCTGAAGGTATCAAGACAGTGGGGTACAAATGAGTTTTTGTACGAAAAATAAATGAGAAGGTGAAGTTGTAAGATATAAGGCCCGACTCGTTGCTCAAGGTTTTTCTCAAATACCTGGCATTGATTATATGGAGACATATTCTCCAGTGGTAGATGCAATCACCTTCAGATATCTCATAAATCTGGCAGTTCATGAAAAACTTGAAATGCGTCTAATGGACGTTGTCACAGCCTATCTATATGGTTTATTGGACCACAACATTTTCATGAAAATTGCTGAAGCATTCAA